TGTGCATCTTAAAGACTGCTTATCCTAAAATGTTTCCTCTACACCGAGCATGTCAAACCCAAAGGCTAACACAGGCTAAATAAACAAGGCATGTGCGGCCCATGGGCCCCGAGTTTGACATGCTTGATCTACACAGTGCAGTTCATTAGGATCCTACTGTAATAAAACTGCAGGTAATAAAACTTAATCAGTTTGGAACCACATGGTTCTGAGTTATGAAAAGCTGAGACTGAAGATATAATGCATTTATATTCTTTGAATTTATTAACTGGTTGCAAAACTAAAATGATATTTAGTTTTACAGAGTCATTTTGCTCCCCATCTGCATACAATATAACAGTTTAGAGAAAACACACAAATGGAATTATATCCCTGGTCAGAGTCCAAGTAGCTTCAATTGATTTTCGGTATCTTATTTTATGTCATGCTTTAATGCATAATAATCCTAAAAAGTTATAAAGCCCTAGGAAAAGAGACATATTTGACTTTTGCTAATGAATTTGGCATACTTAAAAATTAAACAAACAAAAAAAGTTTTTTATTGATATCAGAGAGGAAGTAAGAGGGAAAGAGAGATACAGATATCAATGATGAGAGAGAATCGTTAATCGGCTGCTTCCTGCACCAGGAATTGAGTCCACAACCCAGGAAGCACCCTGGCTGGGAATAAAACCGGGACCTCCTGGTTCAGACATCGACACTCAACCACTGAGCCACACCGGCTGGGCAAGACATTACACTTTTAAGAAAAGCTCCAGCCAAAATGAATTTGCCACACAAATCTGCTTTGGAAAAGAAATTTAAGCAATAGCTTTCACAAATTTTTAAAACGTAAATTACATTAAGCCAAGGTTGTCATTTAAATTCAAGTCCCTATTGCTGAGTATGATGCATGACTAACCAGTATTACAATTACAGGAAAATATAAGCAAATGTTAATACCTTAATACAGCAATTAAAAAAAAATAATTAAGAAGAAAAATATTAAAAAGTAGTGGAAACCTGAGTTAAAAGAAGCCAGGAAGCAGCTGAAAAAGAGACCGGTTCACTGTGAGAAATGTAAACCTCTCAGACAGTGCTACGGCCCCGAATCCAACAGCTCAGGAACAAGGCCAATTATTGCAAAATATTAAACATATATGGTGAAGCTGCAAACTTTTCAAAAGAGTCATAAGAATGAAAGCAGCTAGAAAGAAAACAGCCAGGGTCTCACAAACCTAAAATCTTTACTATAATCACTACTTGCAGAAAAAGGTTTCTTTATAAGTAGAAAGCAAGCTTCTTAAATGCAGTATACTTTATAATCTCCAAGCTGTAAATTTTATGATAGCTAGGATAACAAATCCTTATTGTAAGTGGCAAGTAACCAGATCTTTTTAAACTGTTGCTTATATGACTTAGTTCTTCATAGTAAGTCACTTGCAAACCAAGTCTTCGATATTCCTACCTTTCTGAACTAGAAAAGACTCAAAAGATAGACACACAGAATCATGGAATTTTAGAGTACACAGAGGCTTCAATAGAAAACACAGAGGCTTTAGGCGATACACCTAAAAGGAGTTAAAAATAAATAAGGGCTGCCAGGATTGACTATTTTGTTTTCTTTCATGTCATATACTAAATTGTCCAAAAGCCTTATGTAGCCAGAATTTCTTCTGCTTTTGTTGACTGAGATTGACTACCTTGTTTTGAATGGCCAGAGTAGCTCCACATTCATAACAAAAGATTTGTTTATTCATTTGTAATGTCAGTACTAATTTCAATTCAGTTCCCATAACAGACTGGTGGTTTACTGACAAGGAGATCAATAACTGCTGTGGTCCTCTGGCACACATATGGATAAAAGACCATCGTTTTTCTCTATATCCAAAAGGAAAAAATAGAGAAAATCCTATAATTCATTGCCCATACCCTACCTGGTCTAAGAATAGTTGATTCAATTGGGTTTGTTAATTTATGGCAAAAATTTCTTTAAAATTATATACAAACATTTAAAAATTATTTATTTGTGCCTCAGTGAAGAAAAATTGTTCCAAATCTATCAATGCTTTCATTATTTGGTTGAATAATTAATTCACTCTTTCAGGCAAAAAAGAAAACAAAATGCTTACCTAAATGTTTGAAGAAAAAAAAATGTTAACGTGACAGTTTTTAATTTTAATCATTTTGGGAAGATAGAATGTAGGGAAATATAAGGAAAAAATAAGAAAAACAAAGTCTAATTTTTACATATAAAAATGTAAATTATTGAGACAGAAATTGCTATAAATCTGTGAAAAAAATCAGAAACAAAAAATTGCCTGTCCCTTTCCCAATGCATTTTATTTTTCTATTAGGACACCTACGAACATAATGCATATTTTCTATAAGTTTTGACATAAAAAATAAGCATTAGCTAACTAAAAAAGTCTTTAGATAATAACTTTTAAAAATGTTAAAATACTACAAATTCTATAAAAAGGTCCAATATAATTGCTAACACAATACTTGGCACTGACACTACTAAACTTTTCTTTCAAGGGAAATTTCTATTGTACTTACTGGCAGAACAAAATTTCTTTCCCTTTCAGATAAGGATTTTTTGAGGATTTATTTCTCTTTTCTTCTTTGAAATAAATAAGATTCAACTAACTTAAGCTGTAAATTAAGAGGATACTACATAAAATAACTGGGAGGAGCAACTCTAGTTATAAAATATTATATTATGACAAAACACAATGTTAAAAACTATCCAGACACACACTAAGTGGCCAGATTATTATGATCTCTGAATGCATAATAATCTGGCCACTCAGTGTGTGTGTGTGTGTGTGTGTATATAAATATAATAAAATTATATATATATATAAAAATATATTAGAGGTCCAGTGCATGAATTCATGCATGGATGGGGTCTGGCTATCCTGGCCAGGGGGAAGGAGACATGGGTGGCTGGCTGGCCTGCCTGCTGGTTGAACTCCTGGTCAAAGGGACAATTCGCATATTAGCCTGTAATTATATAGGATATACACTGAGTGGCCAGATTATTATGCATTCAGAGATCATAATAATCTGGCCACTCAGTGTATTCTCTCTGTTCCTATATTATCCAGATGCAATCTAATTTACTTACTGTTTTCTTCCTTCTCACTATAACTAGCATTAGAAAAAAAAAACCCGAAATTAAAATATGACTCATGATAAACTCATGATATCTGTCATACACATATTTGGCCTTCAATTAGGAATGTCATTTTCAGTTGTTTTCCATTAAGTGGGAATATTTTTTGCACGGATCCATTTGTATAAGGTCATGGTCCCATCTGTGACTAAAAGTTTTAATTTTGTAGGCAATTTGACAAAAATTTGGTCATGAAAAAGAAGAAAACTAGCTGACACAAATGCAGAACAAAGGATCTTTGATTGCCTCATTAATGGGGTGTACTAACAAATTGTTTATTAGATACACACAAGGTGTTTGAATGGAGGATGTGAAGGTAGATTTCTTTTTTATTATCCTGGCATCAGGTATAATCAGTATTATAATTTTCAGAGAAAAAAAAAATTCAAGACCAAAACAACATGAAATGTCAGTCGCTGAGTTTCTAGGAAAACTTGGAAACTAGTTTCTATAAGAACAAAACAATAATGTATTAAAGCTAATGAGCAGTTTCACATACAATGTTTCTATGTATAAAGAACAATTTTTGATGCCTTTAAAAATAATAGCATATATTAGTTTACATTATAAGTGGACTATATTATTAACCTTCAGGAACTATAAAGAGTCATATTGGAGACAGAGGGCAAATTCAAAGTTGGCTAAAAGGACCAATTCTTGTACGCAACATCCTTTAGAAGAGTATCTGTCACACACACAGCTCAGGACAGTAACACACAAAAAGAACCTACACACCAAGTATAAGACAATCCTAGGAGCAACAAATTAAGGACTGAAGCTTCTGTAAGGATAATAAGTATGAGGCCTGTCTTATAAAGGAAGTTGGTAAGTCAAAATGATCACTGAAGATTGCACAAGTGATGAGAAGCAAAAACACTTCTCTTCAGATTGTGTAGCGCAGGAGTCTTCCTTCAGAAACTACAGTTCCCCTTAAGAGCTCTAAACAACAAGAGCAAAAAACTGCCTACGTGGAGGTGAGGGATTATATGGCCTCACTGAGTCACACTGAAATAGTCTGAGAACCTCCAATGAGCCAAACAGCCAAAAAGGCTCCCAAGAAACCAATAAAAATTATACTTCAACACCCAGAGTTATGAAAAGCGGAAAAAACAAAACAAAACAAAACAAAACAAAACAAAACACCTTTATACAACATCCAGGACAGAAGTACACATCTAGGTGGGAAGCGTGTAGAGAAATGAGTTCAGTAAAATAAGATAGCTTTTTATATTGAGATCAATTGTTTTCATTGAATGCTTTAAAAAAATCTTGAGTTTTAATATATTTAATATGCCTAGTATTAAATTGCATTTGATTTTAAAAAACCTTTCACCATGCAACCAGCAAACTGAAAAACAAAACACAAACACAGATATTTAAGACTATCATTTGTTTTAGAAGCATTCCTACTGACACTGAGACATAAAAATTTTTCACTAGACTAGAGTTCCCAGTCAACTTTAGGTTCAGGAGACATTTTAACCTGCCTTGTCTCTCTATTGTTGTTACCATCGGTGGCTTACCAGGTTGCAAAGAAAGCTTAAACTACAATGGCAGTGAGCACCAGGAAGCTGCTTACCATACTGCTCAGCCTGGTATAACCTGCTCATCATGGCTTCCTACCCTTTAGCATAAAAACCTACCATAACCATGTGGTATTTGCTAGCAGGTTACTTCTGCCCACTCTTGTACATCACAGGTTTGCTATTCAGATGTATATTCATATCTGAGACCCTTGATAGACTGTGTGTACAGTATCTTAATAGTAAGACTGAGATGAAGCTGGATGAAAAAAAGCAGTACCTGAGCACTAAGAATTAATGACAGAAATACTACTCACTTGTCTGCTGTGCAGTCTGTAGCAGTGGTTGGTTTAGATGTGAATTGTAATGGACAGAAGGGACTGGGCGGTACTGAGGTTGACTGGAGTGATAGTGGCCTGGAGCGCAATAACAGGCTGGCATCTAGGATAAGTATCGAGAGAAAAAAATCAATTTTACTTGGAATAAAATCTTTTAATTTCTTTCAACACTGATCATCTGAAAACTTTTTCTTAGCTTTAACTTTTTTTTTTTTTTTTAATTTCAAACATACAATATAAATACTTCTACCAATCTGACTTAGTAGATATTAATTTTTTGGGGTCATATTTGTCATATTCTCCTCTCTTTTACAAAACCAAACACTACTGATATGGTTGAAGGATCACTCCAAAGTCTGGTTGCACATTCCACAAAAAAAACCCATTATCCTATAGTTAGAATATATTATTCCTGTAAATGTTTAAAATGTCTAATACTGGAGGTTGGGGGGGGCAATGGTAAGATATGTACACATATAATACCTTAATAAAAAATGAAAAGATAAAAAAAAAAATGCTACCCCCCCACTCAAAAAACCCCCACAAAATAAAATGTCTAATATATCTCCCTCTATATATCTGTTACCCATGTATAAATTGTTGAGCATATAAAAAAATTACATTATGGTACTCTACTAAAACTTCATGCAACTTATTTTGCAATTAACATTGTTTGAGACTTTTCTTGGTTTAAACATGTACCACTAGCTCATTCAAGTTAAATGTTGAATAACAATCATTATATAAATAAGACACTTTATTCATTTCCACATTAATTATTAATTTCCACATAATGCACAGTTGAACTGATCCCATTCCTTAATTTTTCTTATGCAAATCAAAATACCAATACAATTTTATTTGTCAACTAGAGGCTTGGTGCATGAAATTCATGCACAGGGTGTGGGGTGTGGGGTGTAGTCCCTCAGCCAGCCTGGCCTACACCCTCTCGCAATTTGAGACCCCTTGGCCGATCCTACAGGGAACCCTGAGGGATTAGGCTAAACTAGCAATCGAATATCCCTCTCGCAATCTGGGACTGCTGGCTCCTAACCACTTACTTGTCTGCCTTCCTGATTGCCCCTAACCCCTCTGCCTGCCTGCCTGATCACCCCTAACCCCTCTGCCTGCCTGCCTGATCACCCCTAACCCCTCTGCCTGCAGGCCTAATTGCCCCTAACCCCTCTGCCTGCCGGCCTGATCGCTCCTACCCGTCTCTGCCTGTCAGCCTGATCACCCCTAACTGCCAATGCCTTGGCCCCCACCACCGTGACTTTGTCCAGAAAGACCAGACAACCAGAAGATGTCCCATCGACCTGGTCTAATTAGATTATTACCCTTTTATTAGTATAGATTATGCCTTAATAAAGGTGGACAAAATGCCCGTAAGACTAACTTGATTTACTTTTCCTTCCAGAGCTATTTATATATGCTTTGAATTTCTCTTAATGTAATCTCATCTAGTTTGGGGTGAAGAATAACCAGTGATGTAGCAGTATGTGATAGATAACATTTTTCAGTTCATTGGCTCTCTCAGGCTCTGCTCTTCTCACTGGGTTACTATTAAAAAACAGAAACCTATGAAGATCTTTAAGAATGCCCATTTCATTAGGAAACCAGCCAAGTAAAGAATTTTTAGATTGGTTATAAGCCATGAATCCCCAATATTTACTGTCATATTCTTGTGTCTTTGAAAGATTAGACACAATAGAGATGTGATTCCTTAATTTTTCTTAGAGATATCAGCAATAAATAATATGTCCTGATTTTAGGTCTCATTTATTATTAGACTTTTCAGCATGTATGTATGTGTGTATATATATAAACACCCTATATAATAAAATAGTAATATGCAAATTAACTCCACTACACCCACAAGCCACGCCCACCAGCCAATCAGGAGCGAGTGTGCAAATTAACCCCAAACAAGATGGCTGTGGCCAGGGAGTGAGCAAGAAGCTTGGGTTTCCCCAGCAATGGAGGAAGCCAAGTTTTCCACAAACCTGGAAGGCCTAGGCCTCCACTCAAGGGTACAAAATTTCAATTATAGAAGATAAGTAAATCCCAATAAAAATGGCGGCAGCCACAGAGCTAGCAGGAGGCTTGGCTCTGCTCAAGTCTATAAAGTTTCAATTATAGAAGATAAATAAATCCCAACAAAAGTGGCTGTAGCCACAGAGTGAGCAGGAGGCTTAGCTCGCTCAAGGCTACAAAGTTTCAATTATAGAAGATAAATAAATCCCAGATACTAGGGCCTCCACGGGACATGGCCAGCCTGCAAACCACCATAGGCCCCTCACTCTGGCCACACTACGCCCCAAGGGAACCCCCACCCTGATCTGGGACACCCTTCAGGGAAAACCAGCTGGCCCCCACCCGTGCACCAGGCCTCTATACTATCTAATAAAAGAGTAATATCAAATTGACCATCATTCCAACACACAAGATGGATGCCCCCATTCGACCAAAGATCCTGCCCCCATGTGGACACAAGATGGCCTGCAAGGGAGGGCAGATGTGGGCGCAGTTCAGCAGGTTAGGGCAGATGGGAGGAAGTAGGCCTGCAGGGGAGGGCAGTTAGGGTAATCAGGCTGGCAAGGGAACAGTTAGGCATCAATTAGGCTGGCAGGGGAGTGGTTATGAGGTGATCAGGCTGGCAGGCTGAAGCAGTTAGGAGCAATCAAGAAGGAAGGCTGGCAGGCAGGTGAGCAGTTGGGAGCCAGCAGTCCTAGATTGTGAGAGGGATCCTATCAGGATCCGGCCTAAATGGGCAGTCGGGCATGCCTCAAAGGGTCCCAGATTGAAAAGGGTGCAGGCTGGGTTAAGAGGCACCACCCCCCATGCATGAATTTAGTGCACCAGGCCTCTAGTATATAAATAATGTTTTTTTCTTAAATAAAAGACATACTGTTTATAGCAAAAATTATCATTATATTATTGTTTATAATGCATATACTGAGTGGCCAGAATATTATGATTTCTGAAGGCATAATAATCTGGCCACTCAGTGTATATCCCATATAATAACAGGCTAATGTGCAAATTGTTCCTTCGACCAGGAGTTCGACCAGCAGGCAGGCCAGCCAACTACTCCTGTCCCCTCCCTCTGGCCAGGCTGGCTGGACCCCTCCCATGCACAAATACATGCACTGGGCCTCTAATACATACACACACCCACACAAACTGAGTGGCCAGATTATTATATGTTCAGAGATCATAATAATCTGGCCACTCAGTGTATACATGTAATATATATAACAATGGAGAGAGGGTAAAAAGAATTATATTGCTGCCCAGCTGGTGTCACTCAGTGATTGAGCATCAACCTATGAACGGAGGTCACGGTTCAATTCCCGGTCAGGGCACATGCCTGGGTTGTGGCTCGATCCCCAGTAGGGGACATGCAGGAGGCTGCTGACCAGTGTTTCTCTCTCATCATTGATGTTGCTCTTTCTAACTCTTCTTTCATCTTTGACTCAATACTTGCAGTTTCATTTAAACATCAGGGTAGACTATAATACTATACATATAGTAATCCCTAAATATAGTACACAAAAACAAGATTCAAATGGCTGTAGATAAGGAATCAACAGAAGAAATACAATGAAACACTAAAAGACAAGGCCAGTGTGGCTCAGTGGATTAGAGCAACATCCCCCAAGCATGTTAAACTTGCAGCATTTATTTGGCCCGTGTTAGCCTTTGATTTTGACATGCTTCTCTTACAACAAAGTGTGGTGTGTTTGATTACTGGTCAGGGCACAAACCCCAGTTGGGGCATGTACAGGGGGCAAATGATTGTTGTTTTTTCTCTCTCTCTCTGCCTCTCTCTAAAGCCAGTAGAAAGCATATACTACTCAGATGGTGAAAAAAATCCCACCAAAAATGTTCAAATAATACAAAAAGCAGGAAAAGAAGCAGATAGAAATAAAATACAGACAACTGGAAAACAAATAGTAATATAGGATACCTTCATCTAACCATGTCAATATATATAAAAGATAAAAGAACTAGACACTCTAATCAGATTGTGTAAGACATCTAAAACAACAACTATATACTTACTGTATGTAAAAGACACTTTAGGTATAAATCATGCAAATAAGAGGTTGAAAAAAACTCATTTAAATGCGAATCAAGTGAATGCTGAAGTCACTATATTAAAATCAGATAAAATAGATTTTAAGACAAATAATAGTAATAGAAACAGAAAACCATTTCACAACAAGAGTTAATATATCAGGAAGGCGTAATAAATATGAATTGTTCAATGTAGATTCAAATACTATATAAAGACTGATAGAACTTAAGGGAGAAGTAGAAAACCAACAATCATTTTTGCTAGAACTGTACAAAATTTACATAAGGATATAGAAGATCTGAAAGACACTATAAACCACAAGACAATATCAATTGATATTTAAAGAATACTAAATGCAGCCCCTGGCTGGTTTGGCTCAGTGGATAAAGCATCAGCCGGTGGATGAATGGGTTGCAGGTTCGATTCTGGTCAAGGGCACGTGCCTTAGGTTGTGGGCTCAATCCCTGATGGGGGGCATATAGAAGGCAGCTGATCGATGGTTCTCTCATCATTGATGTTTCTATCCCTCTTCTTCTCCCTTCCTCTCCAAAATCAATAAAAATATTAAAAAAAAAATAAATGGAAATACTTCTCTTAAAAAAATACTACATGCAGAAACAACAAAACAAAAAGGAAATTAAAAAGGCATCCTATATTTATTAATACTGAAGACTTGGTATTGTTAAGATGGCAGTAACAAGAAACACAAACTGCAGATTCAAGGCAATTTCTATCAAATTCCAATGGGCTCTTTTGCAGAAATGATAAAGCCAACTGTCCAATTTATATGGAATCACAAGGGATAGTGATTCCAAACAATTTTGACAAAGAAGAACAAACTTGGAGAATTCACACTTTCTGATTTTAAAACTTCTTACAAGGGTACGGTATAGTAAAACAACATAAAGACAGAAATGTAGACTATTGTAAAAGTCAGAGCCCAGAAATCAGTCCAAATAAATCTGACAAAGAAGAACAAACATGGAGAACTCACACTTTATGATTTTAAAACTCCTCACAAAGGTACAGTAATAAATCAGCATGAAGAGAGAAATATAGAACATTGTAAAAGCCGGAGTCTAGAAATCAGCTACATTTAAGGTTAGCTGTTATTTGACAAGGGTATCAGTACTATTCAACGCAAAAAAAAAAAAAAAAAAAAAAATCCAGATTCTTTAACTAATGATCCTGGAACAAATAAATACACACATACAAAAAATGAAGTAGAATCCTTATTTCATACCAATTATAAAACTTATTCAACATTGATAAATCATCTAAATATAGGAGCTAGAACCATAAAACTCTTAGAAGAAAACATGGATGAATCATGACCTTGTCTGAATTCTTAGATATGATAAAGGAATGAGTAACAGAATGAAAATATGAATAAAATTGACTTCATCAAAATAAAAACAACTTTTGTGTATTAAATACATTATCAAGACAGTAAAAAGACAATCTATAGAATGAGTGAACATATTTGCAAATAGACATCTGATAATGATCTAATATCTGAAATATATAAAGAACTTTTACAACTTAACAAAAAGCAAACAATCTGATTAAAAAATAGGCATCATTGCCAAAACCAGTATTGCTCAGTGGATAGAGTCGGCTTGCAGACTGAAGGGTCCCAGGTTCAATTTCAGTCAAGGGCATGTACCTTGATTGTGGGCACATCCCCAGGAGGTGTGTGTAGGAGGCAGCTGATCAATGTTTCTAACTCTCTATCCCTCTCCCTTCCTCTCTGTAAAAAGCCAATAAAATATATTAGAAAACAAAAACAAAAACAGGCATCATGGAAAATAGTTGGTGGTTCCTCAAAAAGTTAAATATAGTTACCATATGAACCAGCAATTCTACTCTGACGTATATACACAAAGAAATGAAGTCAGATACCTGAATAAATTCATGTACCTACATTTTAGGAATATTCACAAAGACAAAAGGTGGAAACATTCCTCCAAATTAATGGAGGAAAAGGTGAACATGCCCTACACTGGGATCTGGCCTGCAACCCAGGCATGTACCCTGACTGGGAACTGAATTGTGACCCCCTGGTTCATGAGTCAATGCTAAACCACTGAGACATACCAGGTGGGCAAAATGCATTTTACTTATTTATAAAAACGCTTTCTTATATACATATACACACATATATGCATTTTTAAAATTAAACTCAGAGAGGAACAAAGAGAAATAGAGAGACAGAAATAACAATGATGATGAGAGAGAGTCATTGACCGCCTGTCCCCTCAACACGATCCCTACTGGAGAACGAGCTTGCAACCAGGGCATGTGCCCTTGACCAGAATTGAACTTATGACCCTTCAATCCGCAGGCTGATGCTCTATCCACTGAGCCAAACCCACTAGCGCTGCATTTTATTTTTATAGTGCATTTACTTTAATGTGTTTTATTTAAGCAAATGATAAAAAACAAACCTGAGTCAGAAGGAAAACTCCAAAATCACATAATTTACTCAACTGTCATGTTGTTATCTAGCAAGCACTTGAAAATCACCAGAGAAAAGAAAATGATGACAAGTTTTGCTTACACATCCTTATAAATGCTTTAAAAATTTTTTATTATCAATTTCAGAGAGGGAGGGAGAGGGAGAGAAATAGAAACATCAAGGATGAGAATCATTGATTGGCTGCCTCTTGCAGCATACCCCCTAATGGGAATCCAGCCCACATCCCAGGCATGTGCCCTGACCCAGAATTGAACCTTGGCCTCAACACTCAACCATTGAGTCACACCAGCTGGGCTTGCACAAATTCTTTCCCTGTCAAATGACAAATACACACTCTAATGTAGCCCTAGCCAGTTTTGCTCCATGGATAGAGACAGCATCAACCTGAGGACTTAAGGGTCTCGGGTCAAGGGAACATACCTGGGCTGTAGGCTCAATCCCCAGCCTTAGTTTAGTGCAGGTAACCAACTGATATTTCTCTCTCATTCTGTCCCTCCCCCTCCCTTTCATTCTCTCTAAAAATCAATGGAAAAATATCCTCATGTGAGGATTAACAAAAAACAAATCAACAAAAGACTCTAATGCTAAAAGCTATCTTAAATGAAAAGCCCCCCCAGAGAGGGAGGTGAAAAAGTGACCTACCTGTGGTGAGGGCTGCTGAATATATCCCTGCTGCTGGAGCACAGGCTGGCTGACAGGGTGACCAGAAGCAGAATAGCCAGCAGTAGGGACAGGCTGTCCAGGTGGCAGTGGGGGAGGAGGAGGGGGAGGAGGAGGAGGTGGTGGTGGCAGTAGTGGTGGTGGAGGAGCCGCTGTCATGATATAACCAGACTGCTGTGGGGACTGAAGAACAACAGTGGACTGGAACATGGTAGCATGAGGATCAGAACCATCTGTAGATGGCTGGCGGGCAAGACTCATGTGGCTAAACTGAGACCCAAGGTTATCCTGACAAAAAAGGAAAAAGTTAAATCAGTATGCCTTCCCTATACAGATCAAACTTATCAAAGAAAACTACTTCCTGTATTTTAAGATGAGTTGCAATAGTGTATATTATGGAAATCATATATCTTTATCAGACATGACTTTAAATAAAAGAACAGCTTCAAAAAAAATTAAAACTCCTATGGAGGAATATTACAATGCCATCACTACAAATTGCTTATAAAATACATATAATGGAAATGCATAACATGCAGAAGAGTAGGGTGTAACATTTCACACACAAACAATAAAAAAAACTTATTTAAATAAAGATTAAAAGCACATTAGGATAGAAACCCCACACCTGAAACTTATATGTTGATGTTGACCAATGTCACTCCAATAAATTTAATAATAATTAAAAAAATCGCAATAGGATGTAAGTGAAACTGACAGGAATTAAAACTCCAGGTAACTAGTAAGGCACAGTACTAATTATTCTTCACTTTAAATCACTGCCCCTCTTCCTAGAAGGCAAGATTCACTAAAAGCATCTTTGTGTCTCCTATTATACCTACCAAATATACTAGCAGAAATTAAATAGAAAATCTATCTACCTTGTCCTTTTTCTAATTTCTCAAAAATAATTTAGCCCTAATTCTATTCTTCTCTAATCTGTTTCAATCTGTTCTTTAAGTCACATGTTAAACAAATGAAATCCAAACAACAGTTTCTTACTGCTTTTGCTACTTGGTGAGCAGGCAATGGTGCCCAGCCAAGATAGGGTTGTGATTTATGTTACCTGACAAATGTTTCTCTGCCTCAACAATATAAATACCAGTTCTGACTAGATAATATCATCACTGAAATGAAAACCATGGAGTTAAAGTGGCATTTCTCTGCTCCCAAGGAGCCACAGATTGGCAACAATATATACCACACCTGCCAAAACCGGTTTGGCTCAGTGGATAGAGAGTTGGCCTGCAGACTCAAGGGTTCTGGGTTCGATTCCGGTCAAGGGCATGTACCTTGGTTGCGGGCACATCCCCAGTAAGGGGGGGGGGGGTGCAAGAGGCAGCTGATTGATGACTCTCTCTCATCGATGTTTTTTTCTCTCTCCCTTTCTCTCTGTAAAAAGTCAATAAAATATATTAAAAAAAAAATATATATATATATATACACACCACACCTCCATATTTTGCTAAGAGGAAAACTGAAAACAAGTTAAAAACTTAAAATATTGAGCAATGAAGTTGTCAGATCAAAGTTACATGTCTGTAATTTCTAGAGTCCGCAGTGTTTTTTGTTTCCCACCCCCCAAAGTAAATTAACACCATAGCAAAGATATGGGATGAAAATGGGAACCTGATTTAATGATTGAAAATACATGGTTTTACTCCTCCCAAATAGCTGCTCTGTTCTCCTAACTCCGTGGTCGGCAAACTGTGGCTTGAGAGCTACATGCGACTCTTTGGCCCTTTGAGTGTGGCTCTTCCACAAAAGACCACGGCCTGGGTGAGTACATTTTGAAGAAATGGCGTTAGAAGAAGTTTAAGTTTAAAAAATTAGGCTCTTAGCAACAAGAAAAGCCCAGTGTAAGCAGAAGGAAGGAAATAACAAAAATCAGAGCACAGATAAACGACATAGAGACCAAAGAAACAATACATAAGATCAACAAAACCAAGAGCTGGTTCTTTGAAAGGATAAACAAGATAGATGAACCTCTACCCAGGCTAACTAAGAAACAAAGAGAGAGGACCCAAATAAACAAAATCAGAAATGAAAGAGGTGAAATAACAACAGACCCCACCGAAATACAACGGATTGTTACAAAATACTATGAACAACTCTATTCCAACAAACTGAACAACCTGGAGGAAATGGACATATTCCTAGAAAAATACAACGTTCCAAAAGTCAATCAGGAAGAATCTAAAAATCTCAATAGACCAGTGACGTGGGAAGAAATTGAAACAGTCATCAAAAAGCTCCCAGCAAACAAAAGCCCAGGACCAGATGGCTTCACAGGAGAGTTTTAGCAAACATTCAAGGAAGAACTAAAACCTATCCTCCTCAGACTATTCCAAAAAATCCAAGAGGAAGGAACACTTCCAAACTCCTTCTATGAAGCCAGCATCACCCTAATACCAAAACCAGATAAAGACAACTCAATGAAAGAGAATTACAGGCCAATATCCCTCATGAACATATTATAGATGCCAAAATTCTAGCAAATCGGCTCCAGCAGAGCATCACAAAGATCATACACCATGACCAAGTAGGATTTATTCCAGGAATGCAAGGATGGTACAATATCCGCAAATCAATAAACGTGATACATCACATAAACAAATTGAAAGATAAAAATCATATAGTCATATCAATTGATGCAGAAAAAGCATTTGATAAAATCCAACACCCTTTCCTGATAAAAACTCTCAACAAGGTGGGAGTACAAGGATCATACCTCAACATAATAAAAGCTATACATGATAAACCCACAGCCAACATTATACTCAATAGGCAAAAACTAAAACCATTCTCTCTAAGAACAGGAACAAGACAGGGATGCCTACTTTCACCACTCCTGTTTGACATAGTACTGGAAGTACTAGCCATTGCAATTAGACAAGAGGAGGAAATAAAAGGCATCCACATTGGAAAAGAAGAAGTAAAGTTATCCTTATTTGCAGATGACATGATATTGTACATAAAAAACCCAAAAGACTCCATTAAAAAACTAATTGACTTAATAAATGAATTTGGCAATGTAGCAGGATACAAAATTAACGCCAAGAAATCCATGGCATTTCTATATACCAACAGTGAAATTATAGAAACAGAGACTAAAAAAGCAATTCCATTTACCATCGCACCAAAAAAATTAAGATACCTAGGAATAAATTTAACTAAGGAAGTAAAGGACCTATATGCGGAAAACTACACGACACTGAAAAAAAGAGATAGAGGAAGATGTAAAGAGATGGAAGAACATACCATGTTCATGGATTGATAGAATCAACATCATCAAAATGTCCATACTTCCTAAAGAAATCTATAGGTTCAATGCACTCCCCATTAAAATACCAACGGCATATTTCATTGACCTAGAAAGAACTCTCCAAAAGTTCATTTGGAACAATAAAAGACCTCGAATAGCCACAGCAATCCTGAGAAAGAAGAGTAAAGTAGGAGGGATCTCAATACCAGACATCAAACTATATTACAAAGCCACTGTTCTCAAAACAGTCTGGTACTGGCACAAGAACAGACATATAGATCAATGGAATAGAATCGAGAACCCAGATATCAACCCAAATCACTATGCTCAATTAATATTTGACAAAGGAGGCACGAATATACAATGCAGTCAAGATAGTTTCTTCAATAAATGGTGTTGGGAAAATTGGACAGACACATGCAAAAGAATGAAACTAGATCACCAATTTACACCATTCACAAAAATAAACTCAAAATGGATATAGGACTTAAACATCAGACGGGAAACCATAAAAATACTAGAAGCATCCACAGGCAGCAAAATCTCAGACGTATGCCAAAAGAACTTCTTCACTGATACTGTCCCTAGGGCAATGGAAGCTAAAGAGAAAATAAACAAATGGGTCTACATCAAAATAAGCTTTTTTTACAGCAAAAGAAACCATCAACAAAACAACAAGAAAGCCCACTGTGTGGGAGAACATATTTGCAAATAATACCACTGATAAAGGTTTAATCTCCAACATCTACAAACAGCTTATACAACTAAATAAAAGGAAGATGAATGATACAATTAAAAAATGAGCAATGGACCTAAATAGAATAGTTTCAAAAGAAGACAGAAGGAAGGCCAAAAGGCACATGAAAACATGCTCAAAGTCCCTAAATCAAAACAACAATGCGGTACCATCTCACACCTGTCAGAATGGCCAACATCAACAAATCAACAAACGACAAGTGTTGGCGAGGTTGCGGAGAAAAAGGAACCCTCGTGTACTGCTGGTGGGAATGCAGACTGGTCAACCACTGTGGAGAACAGTATGGAGTTTCCTCAAAAAACTGAAAATGGAACTCCCATTTGACCCAGTAATCCCACTCCTAGGAATATATCCCAAGGAACTAGAAACACCAATCAGAAAAGGTATATGAACCCTTATGTTCATAGCAGCCAAATCTACAATAGCCAGAATTTGGAAACAGCCTAGGTGCCTGTCAGCAGATGATTGTATCAAAAAACCATGGTACATCTACACAATGGAATACTATGCTGCCATAAAAAAGAAGGAATTCTCATCATTTGCAGCAACCTGGATGGAATTGGAGAACATCATGCTGAGTGAAATAAGCCAATCAATGAAAGAGAAACACCACATGACCTCACTCATTTATGGATAATAAAGAACATTATAAACTGATGAACCAAAAAATAGATATAGAGACAGTAAAGCAACAAGCAGACTGTCAAATTACAGTGGGGAGGGGAGGGAGATCTGCGGGAGATAATAGATCAACCGAAGGACTTGTATACATGCATATAAGTATAACCAATGGACATAAAGTGGGGCAAAAAAACAACACCTCAATAAAATATATTAAAAAAAATAATAATAAAATAAAATAAAAAATAAAAATAAATAAAAGACATTTAGTAACCAAAAAAAAAAAAAAATAAATAAAAAAATTGGCTCTTAAAAGAAATTTCAATTGTTGTATTGTTGATATTTGGCTCTGTTGACTAATAAGTTTGCGGACCACTGTCCTAACTCAATGCATAATTTCAAAAGGGAAAATATATATCTAAATACACTAGTTGTAATTACCAATATTTTAAAAAGAGATACCATAACTGTACAACACCATTACAGTCATCTTTGCAAAAAGTCAATTTTGTGCCGAAACCTGTTTGGCTCAGTGTATAGAGCGTCGGCCTGTGGACTGAAAGGTCCCAGGTTCGATTCTGGTCAAGGGCATGTACCTTGGTTGCAGGCACATCCCCAGTAGGGGGTGTGCAAGAGGCAGCTGAT